CAGGAGAGTACTTAAAGCGCAGATATTTTTTTCTTAACCGTCCACACAGAAAAACACGGATTCTTGTGGATTTTGGAAGGATGGAACACGGTTTTAGTTCAGCGGCTGTTGCTGAAATTCATGCTAATTCCAACTTTAGTAATTTATACAATTAGTTCCCGCAGTAAAGACTTGAATTCTTGGAGTTTTAATGATCATGGATCTTGTTTGTTTTTTATTGTTTTCTGCTTTCCAAAATAATAACCGATATATTTAAATGTTGTCTATGACCTTCACTTTAATTAGATACAATTATATGCCTGTAAAAATCAGAAAAATAATAATAAAATAAATAACAAAAATAATTAAAAAAATTTCCTAGAATATTGCATCTTAAACACAAACATTAACCATAAACAATTCACTAAAAAAAAGTAAACGACTATGGCGTACGTTGAAGTACCATGCGATGCGTCCCGGGCATACCCATTGGACTCGTCAGAAAGACATCAGGTAGGCACTACCTTAGACTCCAGATACTGTATACAGTATTGGCAGGTATATGTGAACCGAAACGGCGCAGATCTTATGCGGTGAGATATAGCTGGCATATCGGTTGGATCTGCTACTTGAGAAGTGGGGGATACAGTTCGCCACACGACTTTCTCTGAGGTTAGGCGTCGCTATTCGAGCAAGGCCAGGCGGTTAAACACCAAGTATGTGCATAGCGGCAACATGGCAGTGAGACGCGCTAGCGCAATCCGCCAGGATTGCTGCGGACGGTTAATGAATATACAATATCTGCACTTGACACATTGCACAACAACTGCACTTTCTCAAACACCGGATACTTAATTGTCCCGATACCTTCCCCGACGAAGAACCTACATTCCTACCATATATGTAGTATTCACAGAACACTAAAGCACATTAAACCTCTGATCTTCCAAAGACCGGTTTAAATTGAGCAGCAATTAATTAACCGAACACGAGAATAAAGTGATTGGGGCGCAAGATGTTTGGAGTGAAACGGGCAGGACTTCTTGCTCTTGGAAACACTTGTGTTTTAAGAACAGAATTGTATTTTATTTGATCAATGATACATAACCTTCAACACGTAGTTTTGGATGACAGTTGTGACCTATTTAGTTATATCACTCATTTGCCCCAAAAAGATGGCAGCACTCGGGGGGCTGTTTGTCGCAGCACTGACCGCAAGGTGATGCCGTTATCATAACCTCAACTCATGTTATTGTCTCTCTTATTTTCTTTGCTTCATGTTTATCCATGGTTACCGGAGTTTTTAATAATTACGAAGGAGCAGTTATGTACGTAATGTTAATTATGCAGATTACCTTGAAAAACATTGTTGCAATCCTTCTGATCTAGTATTTTGTAAATATCTGAGTTTTTAATAACATTTAATTTTTTTTACTACTTTTTCTGTACCCCCAAGACACTAGGGATGGTCGGTATTTAACATAACGGCTAAAATAACATTGTTACAAACGTGTAGTAAGTTGAAATCGTAGTTACAGCTAGCAAATGTAACCGGTTGTTTTTGAAACCGTCTCATAAACCCGAAAAAGCCGTTCGCAACAGCACAGAATGGATGCGACACCGTCGAACATCTATCTAGCTGCAGCAGTTTGCCAATTTAAATCGTTCTTTTTGAAACCATCTCATAAAACCAAAATAGTTGAGCGCACTTGGAACCAGCTGCAGCCGTTTGCCGATTAAAAGGTTGTTTTTGGAACATTCTCATAAAACCGTAACGGCGGTGCGCACCAGCACAGAACCGATGCGACAACGTCGAGCGATCTATCCAGCTGCAGCCGTTTACCGAGTTAAATCGTTCTTTTTGGAACCGTCTCATGAAACCTAAACAGTTTTGTGCACTTCGCTGAAAAAGTGGTTCGCGTCAGCACAGAACCGATGCGGCATCGTCGAGTGCTCTATGCAGTTCCAGCAGTTTCAGTAACCATCTGTCAACGGAAAATATGTATAGTGACGTGTTGCCTTGATTATTGCGTTTATCACTTTCCGTTTATTAGAATTGCTCTTCAGTTCTCCAGAATCCATAATCGTTCAGATATGGATCAGATATTAATTCAGCATTTTTAGTTTTCTGACGTTCTGTAATAGGTGTTAAAAAAGGGATTTTCCTCATTAATAAACTTAGCTCGAGATGTATATGCCTGTAATCAGCAAACTAAGCATGAAGAATGTACACTTGCATATAAGTTATGGCCAAATTTATAGTCTAAGACATAAATTCCATCTCAGTTAAAATGTGAAATAATAAAACTTGCCATTTTTAGATATAAATTCAGTCACAAGAGGAAATGAAAGTTAGTTATATAGGCGTTGTAAGGTCGACATATTTTTTAAACGTATTTTTTGGTGGTACCAAAATTAACTCGGGTAATATTTCGAACTCAGTAAAAAGCATCTGCAAAAAAAATATTTTTAAACGTTAATTCATTTTTAAATGAAAATTAGATTTTTTGACATGTTTGCAAATAAAGCGTATATTTTATTTAATGAGTTTTTATTTACATATTTTATGTAGTTTATTATCAGTTCTTTTGTTCTTTAAGCAGGTACTTCTGACCCATGTTTTGGTTTTGATTTTAGAATATTTTATTTTATCTAAGAGCTGTAGTTAATAATTATTCTTTTAATAAACTAAATCATTTTTTGTCATTACTATTTCTACCATCACCATCATTGCGCATGTTTAATGAAAAATTTTAAAAATAACATGTTCCTTTTGGAACCGCATTTTGAAATCTATTACCAACGTGAAACGGGAACGTTGTAACCTTGTTACAGAAAAATAACCGTTTCTCCCACCTCTACAAGACACCCCCAGACAACACCTCCAGTGGAATGACGTCAATTTTGAATTACCCTGTATAGAAAGAATTGGAATATTTGATTTTGATTAAATTGGAAACAATTAGATAAGTTGTTGAGGCGGATTCATTTTTTTACAAACTTCTTGTTGGGTATTTCGCCTCAAAAACTTTTGCCTTTAAAAAAGACGAAATTTCCTCACGTCTTTTATTACAAATTGATAAATAATGCTCCTATTTGGCAATAAGAACGAATTATTTATCAAAATGTAATCAAGAACTATCACCTAGGGGGTATCCTGCGACACACTTAGGCTCAAGCTGTAAGAGAAAATTCCAATTAGTAAAGAAATTAATTTGACAAATTACCTTGACGTTTCGATAGCTATTTTCTGCTGTCGTTATCAAAAGAACCTAAATGAACCTAAAAAGAGTATGTTAATAAATTGTGTAGCAATAGTAGGATAATACATTATATGAAAATTCGCTCTGATAATTTGTCTATGCAAAATTTAAACAATTAAAAAATCAAAACAAATTAAAACAATCACACTTCAGTTGGAATACTGGCTAATACGGTAGGCCTGACTAAATCAGTGATTTTTTAGGAGTTGGCGCAGTGCTACACAATTGCTTGGTGCGCCAACTCAACGTACCGGCGCAGTACCTCAGTTCCGTTGCTGAAAAAACCCTTACTTATATTGTCATTTATATAAATGAGGTCACTTTTTTTATTTATTTGGGGATAGTGGTAAAACGTTACTCATAAAAAATATTGATAACCTTTTTTTTTCGTTTTTAAAACTACAGTCTCTAGCCTCCTAACCCTTTAATCCGCATTTATAAATGAGTTATAACCCATTAACCGATGAGTTGTAACTCATTAACTTAGAGAGGGTTATGTTTTGAGTTGATGTCTTAGTCCTTTCTGGACATTTTTGCGCTTTTTGTAAAATCTTGCAGCATTCATGGTTTTTGCGCAAAAAAAATTATTTCTGTTTGCTTACTATTCACCAATTTCGGAAATCAACTGCAAACGCCATGGTAAGCGATCATCTTTTTTTTAAAGAATTAATTTGCAAACGTTTCTTAATTTTTCTATAATACTAACTGTTAGGCCCGGTCGCCCTATGAAAGCGTTTTCGACCGAATTGAGTGAATCAGAAATCTCGCGTAAAGAAGAAGCAAATTTGTAGCAAAATGTGGCCCTGAGATAGGAAGAAACATCAGAGAAAGTTTTACTGAAATCCATCTGATCGCTTTCCCGAAATTAGGAAAAAGCTCAATTTGAGTTATGTTAATGTAAAAGGTTATTCAGTGCATAAAATTGTCAGTTGGCAAGAGATCACAAATATTTTTTTGTCATGAGACCAAAAATGTCCATCTAGGATAGGCGCAACAACTCAAAAAAGATATGCGGATTCCAGCGACCCAATAAAAAGTTCTGGTAGTTTTTGTATCAAAACACTCCAAAATTCCTCACTTGCCCCAAGCGGATCAACTCGATTGCTTCATCAAAACATGAGTCTTACAGAAGAACAAATTCACGAGTTTTATTAAAAATAATTTGTTTAAATTTTGACCATCAATATACTTTTTTCTTAATAAAACCATCGGTGAGATCGCCTTCTTTTAATCCAAAGAATATCGCAGTGTCCGTTTGATCATACGCTTACGGAACATCTTGTATATTAATCCTTATTAAAGCCTTTTTAGAATTAGCCTTTTTACACAGTAGAACGACGATTTATTTGGATAAAACTTTAAGACATCCATTTATCAATAACTCCGAATGAATTGCGATGGGAACGCTTTAAGACTATAAGTTGGCGTCAGTTTTCCAACAGGCTAACGAGCGAAGACGGTTAAATCACTCCAATTTAATATGGTTTTAATGTTAATTTGTGTATATTTCCGGCCACACCATTGAAACCGCTTCTTCTTCTCTTCTCATAAAATTATATTCAGCTATTAATTTTGAAGCTGTTATGATATGGAAGTATATGAGATTAGAAGGAAATGGCACTCAGATATGTTGCATGCATCCTGTATTTGCCACTGGCACAAGCAAATGCAATATGTACTTGTAAAGACAAAGCTTTGTTATTGTCATGTCCTTATAAAAATATATTTTGTTTTAAACGACGTTCTGTTTTGTTTTAGCATACGTTAACTGGGCATTCTGGAAAAGTGATGGCGGCTAAGTTTTTAGGAGATGCATCTAAAGTTGTTACCGGTAGTCACGACAGAACTTTAAAAGTATGGGATCTACGGAGTAGAGCATGTAAGTTGCTTCAGTTTCTGTAAAATGATATAATTGAGGTCATTCTGTCGCATTTTAAATTCCTAGAGTTTTAGAATTCCTTGAAACACACGCTGAATACATCTTATTCATGCGTAGGACTGGGTAACACTGAGTTTTCAGGTGTTGACGCACTAATACCAATGCGATTTGTCGCGTCAATACAACGCTTTTTAAGATACAGGAAACTCATAATATGATAGAGCACCTTGTGATAGGTGATATGTAGTGGTTCTTAACCGCTTACTGCATACTGGGTCATATTTGGCACATTCAAATCTAATTAATTTTTCTGCACGTAGAATGATTTGTACGCCTTATTTCAAACTGTCCCAAATAAGTCACACTCGCTTCTTGGCGATGGGCCAGAGTTAACCCTACTATTTCATATCGTCATATCGCGTCATTTTGACTTCAGTTACTGAAGATCGTGTCGGCACGTGTTTTGCAATAAGTTGAATCTCAATTATAAAGTTCAGTTTGAAATTGAAGACCGTTTTTTTTTAAACTGCATTTTTACCGAAATTAAGTTATACATGGATTCTATATAAAAATTCAATGCCCGACCAGCTGGTAGCGTCAGATTAAGGAAAACACGTTAACGACGAGAGGTACAGCATAGACAAATTTCTGAGGTTCTTCAAAACTCGATAACTGCGCGCGCTTTTTTAAAACTTGATAAGTAGCGAACCTGCATTACTTAAATGAATCATTTTGTTAGTACTGTTTCAGCTCTGCTCCAGTGATTTTTGTTTTCTTTTTGAAATATGCATCAAATAACGGCATAATATAGTAAAGACGTAAAACTCATAAAAAAGGGAAGAAAATTTCGTATCTCTAAGGAATAGCATTCAAGTAAGACCAAAGATTACGCGTTATAGAAAAGCGAGGTTAAGTGAAGCGGACATCGCATGTAATAATTTCGAAAGCAAGAGAAAAGGTGTTGTTTGTAATGCAAGAGAACTGACAAGAAATGAGATACTTGGTAAGTTAACTATTTTTCAATTCGATGCAGAATGAAGATTTTCACAGACTTTTTAGGTTTTAGGGAAATGATATATGCAAACGACGCGAAAAAAATTGATCAAGATAAAATACTGCTTAAATTCATGCAAGTTGATGTACCTAGCGAAAAACTACAGATGAAACAGTTTTGAGGCGAAACGGAAAACTTTCGGTCAAATATTCAATTAGAACTTCTTGAGGCAATATTCCTGTTTGTGCTGCCACATTTTAAAATATTTTTATTTGTTGTTCCTCTGAACTTGTCTCATGTCTTGGGTGCAAGTAAAGATAGACTGTCTGCTATTTCAAAAAAAATTATCGCCGGAGAACTATTAGTTGAAAAGCGGGGAGGTCGTGTACCGAGTCAGATTGATAAGGATATTTCTGAAGCAATAAAGACACACATAAGCAGCTACAAATGCAGGGAAAATCACTATTCGCGTGAAAAATGCAGAGGAAACTACTTACCTCCTGAGTTAAACATACCGAAAATGTACAAAATATTTTGTGATACAACAAAATTTAAATGTTCTTTGGCTAAATACAAGATGTTTTATCAAAATTTTAACCTTGGGTTTGGAAATCCACACTCAGATACATGTTTCATTTGTAAGGAGTTTCTGGTAAATATAAGAAAAAACAATATGTTGGAAAAACGTAATGAACTGCTCACCAAGTACAGACTTCATAGGATGAGAGCAAAGGGCTTTTTCAAATACATGAATACTCAGAAAGAAAATAAATTTAAAGTTTGTTTCGATTGCCGACAAAATCAGCAATTACCAAACCTAGTTGGTAAAACCAAATTATAACCTAGGCATTGATGAACCTAGAAATTCGATGGTTTCTTGCGGAAAATGTAATGTGCTTTTGTGTCTAAACAAAGACTGTAACTGTTTTTATGCATTTCATACCGAATAAGTATAAATAAATTGTTTTATCTTTCCATAAAGCAAAATTGTTCTAAATATGGGACATCTTAAAAATGTCGTTTTTTTTCTTAAACAGCGTCTCAGATTTTTTTAAATATTTTTTCCGTGCTTTGTGTGGCAAAGTCTGCTGATGATGATGTTGATGAGATTTATTTCAAACAAAACAAAAAATCATGCAGTAAGGGGTTAAGCCCATGCGTCGTCAGCTTTTAAGCGGTGTTGCGCGTTCAACATATTTTCCTTTGGCTTTACTGTAAAGATACTATAACACTCGCCGCACAGTGAAGTATTTAATATTATTTTCTGATCAAAATTTTTTTAAACCGTTTTTTTTTTAAAACGTTTTAAATTAAATGCGGATTATATGAAAATTAGTCCGATAAGTTGTCCAAGTTGATCCAATAATTATGTGCACAAATGCCAAGTCTATAGTCTTCCTCCAAAGGCCCAAACTTTGATATTTTAAATGAAAATAATATGTAATAATATATAATTTTCGTTGAATGTTTAAATTGCCTGCATTTTAAAAACTATATAAAGACATTACTATTTTCATTTAAAGTAGATTGTTTGAAACTCTAAGAAAAAACATGGACCTAACAACTTCACCGCAATTGATACGGGATGTCTCAAATTCAAGTGGTATTTTTATATTCTGCATCAAGAACATCTGACACATTTGCCATTTGAAATCCACAATAATCGACGCCTTCATGCGGTGCTGTCAAACAAATTATAGAAAATTTCAAGAATTTTGAATACGTCTTAATACCAGTGATTGATATAATAATAATTAATAATTTGTAGATAAGTTCTATATTGTTGAAGCGGATTCATTTTTTACAAACTTCTTTTTGGTATTTCGCCTCAAAAATTTTTGTCTTTAAAAAAGACAGAATTTCCTCACGTCTTTTATTACAGATTGATAAATAGTGCTCCTATTTCG